CTTATACAAAATACTGCTATTTGTAGAGTAAGTTCTCTTATCATCATATTTGATATTTTAAGTTTTTAATTATAAATTGCGCGACAAGGCCATTTTGTTTTTTATTATAAATACAAGAATTTATTGACAAGTATTTTTTATGTCGAAGTAAAAATTACGAAAATGTGTGACAGTTGATTAAAAAAAAATATTATCCAATAGACGCTTTTTAAATAATTGAGTTTATTTTTAATAGAGCTCGTTGTAATTTGAATATGATATTTTGAAATTTATAAGTTCAGCTTGTATTTAAAAAAAAAGAAAAGAATGGCTAATGCATAATTAAACATTGGTTTTTAATTATGCCAATGCATAGTTTAAAACCGATATATATTGAATTTACTCTCATACAAGCCGGGTCACCTAAAAAAGTATTTTTATTAATCCAATTTTTACAAATAAAAAGCAAAATAAAAGTTAGATTTAAGTTAGGTTTATCATGATTTTCTTTTTCTTTTGGTTATTAAGACGTAATTTTTTTTTTTTTTTTGTCTGAGGAAGAGCAATAAAAAACAAAAAAAAAATGTTAAAAAAAACAAAAAAAAAATGTTAACAAGAAAAAAACAAATACGCAAAGGATGTTGATGTTAACGAGAAAAAATGAGACAAGTATGCCAGGGATATTGATGTTAACAAGTAAAAATGAAACAACCACGCCAAGAGTGTCGATGTTAACAAGAAAAAAAAAAAAGACAATCCTTAAATCCTTAAATCAATGTTGGTGTTAACGAGCAAAAAGGACAATTGCGCCTTATAATATATATATATATATATATATATATATATATATATATATATATATATATATATATATATATATATATATATATATATATATATATATATATAATCCGCCACTGGTTATGATATTATAAGAGCTATGATTAATATATTTACTAAATCATAATAATTTTTTTTAGCATTAGTTGTTTTTATGTCATCGTTAGTTGTTACGTTTTTTCAGTTTATTACTGTTTGTAACTGTAACTTTGTATGTATAAGCGATTGTTGTATAGAAAGTTATACCGATTTATTTAAATTGCTATATTATTTATATTAATTACTATATTTTTAATATTACTATTTTTAAAGTAACATGTTATTATTATTTATTATTATTGTTATTATTATTACTATTTATCATTATTTTATTATAAATATTTTTATTGTTATTATTACTACAACTATTTTAATCATTGTTAGTAGGTGTTTACTTAATATTAGTAGTTTATACTATTTGTAAGCAACCTTGAAATGTAATACCAAATATTTCAGAAAATATATTGATAGATTGATTGATTTGATATATATATATATATATATATATATATATATATATATATATGCAAGATAAGTAAAGAAAGTGGCGCAATTGTCCTTTTTGCTCGTTAACACCAACATTGATTTAAGGATTTAAGGATTGTCTTTTTTTTTTTTCTTGTTAACATCGACACTCTTGGCGTGGTTGTTTCATTTTTACTTGTTAACATCAATATCCCTGGCATACTTGTCTCATTTTTTCTCGTTAACATCAACATCCTTTGCGTATATATATATATATATATATATATATATATATATATATATATATATATATATATATATATATATATATATATATATATATATATATATATATATATATATATATATATATATATATATATATAGTGTTTCTTATCATAAAAATCAGTATTTTTTAAAAATAAAAGAATAAAAATAAAATAAGTGTGTCATCGGCAAACATAATTACATCAAGTTTTTCCGAAGCTTTTGTAAGGTCGGTAATATATAGAAGAAACAGAAGAGGTCCAAGAATGAAACCTTGGAGGACATCGCACTCAACTCTTAGTAGTTTTGAGTGTTTATATTTATCTCAAAAAACACTTTCTTGTCTATTGCTTAAATAGTTTTTGAACCATTATTATAATTTGAACCATTGTTTTTTATCTCATTAGTATCACTTAGATAAGATTTAAATGAGTTATTAGGAGACTTTTTTTTTCAGGCAAGATTAGTGCTAATGTTAACTAAAAATTCGTTGAACTTTTCAGCAATCGTATTTTTGTCACTGTATTTGTTTCTATATTGTCTATGACGGTTTGAGCAGGTAAACTATTTGATTCAACTTTTTTGTTTTCAATTGTTTCTTTTATAGCATTCCAAGTTTTTCAATGTCATCAGTTTTTATTTGGTTTGAGTAGTAATTTTTCTTCGAACATTTTTTTAAATTTCAAGTAAATTTTTGTATTGTTTGTAAGTATTAAGATTTTGTTCATTTCTATTTTTTAAGAAATTGATGTAAAATTTTTTTTTTTTTTTTGAAGATTTTTTTATTCCTCTGTAATTCATGGACATTGTAACTATTTTACTTTTAATTTTACTGTCCCACTTCACTGCCGATAGTCTTTAAACTGTTGAATAGTAAAATTATTAATTTTTTGTTTATAGACTTTGATTTTAGAGTTATTGTTTTTTGTATCTTGAAAAAAAGAAAAGTATATCGGAAAGTGATCGGATATATCCGTTTTAATTACATCTGCCACCTGCTTTTAACAAAGAACCATAAAATGAATTAGTCAATATGTTGTCTATTGCAGTGATTGAATTTAATGTTACCCGAGTTGGTATGTTTATTATAGGAAAGATGTAGTGTTGAAACATGTCGTCAAAAAAAGTTTTGGTAACAGCATCTTTATTGTACTGTAAACAGTTTATATTTAAGTCTCCAATAGAGAATAATATTTTTTGCTATTTGTTATTTTTTAGAAATATTTGTTTTAGATGATTTAAAAAATTTTTGTATCACCTTGAGGTGGCCGGTAGCAGGTGGCCATTAATATACTTTTTAATTTTTTTGTTTATTATTTCAATTGTAAAAACTTCGCCATCAGCATCAGAATCGAAAGATCGTCTCTAATTTTAGTTGTCAGATCATTATGAATATATGTCATAATTCCACCTCCTCGTTTTAGAACTTATCGCTCATAAGATAATAATTTGTAGTTTGGATTTAATAAGTTTGAAATTATTCGGGATGGTTCGTCAGAACACCAAGTTTCTGTTAAGCATAGCATACTGAACAAATAATTACATTCTAAGAGAAAATATTTTAGTTTGTCAGTATTGTTAATTCTTCTTATTATTTTTACGTGTATCACCGCAAAGTTATTATTTAATAATTTTAATTCATTTTTAAAAGTTTCTAATTCAAAAAACCGCGAGTTAAAATTATTTTTATTAAAAAAATGAAAATCTGGATCGTAGAACTTATTAAGTAAAAATTTATTAGCCGATTTGAAAACAGTGTTGCGTTTAGGGCATAGCCGGATGCAATATCTGGAACCGAACACCCGGGTGCCCGTACCATTTTTTTGAGATTCAGATCCGGATATATTTAGTTCGGATATTCAGCTCCCGGTTGTTGTTTTTTTACATAAAATTACTTTATATATTTTTGATGTTGGGTAACGTTATAGCCTATATAGTTGTAGACTATTACACTTTGAAGCGTTATAATAATTTAAAGCAATTTAAAAAAATAATTTCAAAATAACTTTCCAAAAATATAAAAGCAATGCTTCCGTTTGGGAGCATTTCTTGAAGTGCAAAATAAACGAAACTGCTTAATGCAACCCTGTAACGTCATTGTAACAATTAAATGAGACTGTACAAGTGTTATGCGAAAGCATCTAAAGATTAAGCATAAAATAGAATTGCCATTATTACATCCTACAAAAATAGTTCATAATTCATCCCAAAAAGATATCAGAAACTTTGCACAAGCAAAAGATACTATTACCAATATGCTAACAGATCTCATTGCAATTGATGGACTTTCATTTAACAATGTTGCTAAAAGTAAGAGGTTACAAAAATTTGCTTTAACCGAAGGACAAAAAAAATACTTTTTGGTTCAATTTTCATTAAAAATACTTTACTTATGCTAAAGACATCAATTAACGGCTGAATTAAAAGACATGAAAGCTAACTATTTCAGATTTAGCTGTTTATGAAAATGCATCAATTAAAACGCGTCGTCATATGAATAATTATGTGCACATAAATGAAGGCCTTTATAATCTTGGACTTGTACGTGTCGTCGGGAGTATGCCATTTGAAAAAGCTGTTGAGATAGTAAGTGAAAAATTGAGTGAATTAAAACCGGATTTTAATATTTTTAGTAAAACTACAAATGGTGCATCTATTAAGGTTAAATTTGGCATTTAATCAACCCACTACATCACATCTGCTATGCCCATGCAATGCGTTTAGCAGTAGGGGATGTACTTTATGTAAAACCAACTAAAGTTTTAGACCAAAACGATAATTTTGAAATTAATGATAGTGAAGTGAAAAGCTATACTATATTGATTTTGAAAATAATTCAGTAGAGGCTGTTGTTATAAAAGATTAATTTTTAATTTTAAAAAAGTTTGCACAAAAATAAATTTGTTTAAAAAAATTACCTGTTAAAAATGACAATATATTGCAGAAGCATGTAAAATTAGAATTTGGACACGAACTTAAACGAACTTAAACGAACTTAAACGAACTTAAACGAACTTAAACGAACTTAAACGAACTTAAACGAACTTAAACAAACTTAAATGAACTTAGACGAACTTAAACGAACTTAGATTTAAAGACACTTTGGAATTTATTATTTGATATTGTTGAACGCTTTATCAAGTTAAGCAAATATATTAAAATGGCACTTATCAAAGTTCAGTCTACAATATCAATACCAGATTCAGATTTAAGACTTAATAGCCAGTAAGATTTAGACTTAAAAGCCTGTAAAAGATCCGAAACACTTTGCCGTCGAGACAGAAAAATTTGCTAACAGCTAAAAAAGTTTTTTGTTTTGTTTTAAGTATTTTTTCATAAAAACAGCCGGTATCTAGTATTTCAATATGTTTAAATATGATGTAATATTTGGTACACAAATAATTCCCATGGGGTGTTATTAAAAATTACCATCATTTCCTATGGACATTGTTAGCGATTGATATAATTCCCTCTGGACAAGGAAAAAATTTCTAAATGGAATTAACTGTGCATGAAGGAATTCTAATTTGTGCACGAAGAAATTCTCGTGTAAACGGTTATAAAAG